CCCAAACTGGAAAATCCTAAATCAAATTTCTTGAGCATATTCTTAGATGAGTAGCATGCTTAATTTCCGTTGCATACTTAATTCTAATAAAAATGAAACCCTTTGGACCAAGGATATTCTGTACCATGTGGATAGTACTGAATAGTGTAAACGGGGTTATTTTCACCCCCTTGTTATATTAACCCTTTTGCACTTGCAAACAGTTTGTCCCGTTTTAAATTCACCCTATCATAGTTTTCTTTAAGAAATTATGCTCTGTTCTTTTAATTTGCCCGACCTTGAAGAGGACGAAAATTAAACGGGGCGAAATTTTCCCTGTATACGGTAATTAGCCAAGGGGGCCTCAAGTGATGGCCCAAAACCTAAAAAGTTGATGCACACTACACAAATGGCCATAATATTAGGCTTTGAGCATTTGGCTTAGAAGAGATAATGATATGAAGCCTAGAACGATCAAACTTTGTCAGTTGATGCATCTTGGGTTCTCAACTTGTGCTGACCCATTATGTCATGGTTGACTACTTTTTTAATTTGAAGGCTTTTAATCTTCATAAATAGGATACTCAAAGGTTTAAAGAGATATAGGCTGTGCAACTTATCAGAATGATTGGAGGCCCTAGCTGGGCTTTTTGTTTGCATCAATTATTCTTTTTGTTTCAGCTTGGTGTGGATTAAATGAAATATATTATACTTCTAGAATCAATATCAAAGCAACATGTAGCATCAATTCAGGCTTGGGGTCAATTACTTTGAAATGTAATTAATTACTTTCAAATACATTGGTAATTTTGTCAATTACTTGCAATTACAATTACATTGATTTTTTCAAATGTAATTAATTACTTTCAATTACTTTGACAAATGTAATTAAATACATTTCAATTACTTGAGATTCTTGGAAAAAATATTTTTTTTTGTAAAAATAAGATAATTTCTATAATGAACGTTTATTCAGTGTTTTTGTTCTTGGGTATGAGAGCTAGGGGTTCACACCTGCACAAATTCTGGAGACCTTCATCTAATGATTTAGGCAGTGTGACACACTGTATAAACAAATTAATTAACACTATTAGAGTTAGACATTTAATTATTGTACAAACACAAGCCCATCTACACTGGTATGGTGTATGACAAGAAGTTTACTTTCTCGAACCCATATTTTTTAGTAAAATAAATTAGTATTTTGTCAAATCTATTCATCATTTTCTATCTTAAAATGTATAGAATACATGTAAATCTTAAAGGGGATGTAGTTTGTCTAATTACCATTTAAACAAATCAACTGTCTAAACAATCTATTGTTACTTGCAAGTGGGAAAAGGTAGAACTGAGATTTTTTAAAAGTGGGAATAGGTTGTATAAACCCACCAGTGTAAAAACTGTGTTTCAGTATATGAACTTTTTATAAACTTTCATTTTGAAAAAAGTAATTGAAATGTAATTGAAAAGTAATTGAAAATACATGACCTTCTTTGAAATGTATTTAAATACATTCAATTACTTGTAATTGATGACTGGCTCAAATACAAATTACTTCCAATTACTTTGAAAAATGTAATTAATTACACTCAATTACAATTACTTCATTCAATTACCCCATCCCTGAGCATCATCTTTTTGTAATTATTAGTGCCTCATTACAACTTCTACAAAAGAAAATACAAGTCTGTTTCTGCTTTATTAGAAATAATGGCAACAAAAACAAACAAAAGTGAACTAGAACTGTCCAATAGGGACAAATACCCCCCGCTGGGTTTTTCAGAGAAGGTGCCAATTCAAAAATGCTTTATGGATCTAAAGATGTTCACAATTTACTTTAAAAAATTTGCAGTGAAATATAATTGCTCATCATGTCTCTTAATGAATGAAACGGAGGTGCAAACAAATGAAACATCAATACTAATACATTGTAATTCCATTGTAACATTTTTTAAAAATTTTTTTCATTTAATTTTTCTTTATTACTGCATTAAAATAAAGTGCCACGCCACAGCATGATAGGCCCGTCAAAAAAATACAATTACAATGTATCTTAAACAGTTAAAAGTGCAGGAAAATCATGTCAACCTTGATTTTTAGATTTCAATGATTTTTACACACCTTAAAAAATGTGTTTATCTATCTCCTGTGGTGTAGGCATTAATTATAACAAACATTGCATCATTCATAGATTTCTATACCTTGCCAAATGCCTATCATATTTAAAAATATCAAATTAGTCTTCACAACTTAATCTACACCTAATTAATTTTGGAAATAAAAGACTGGCCATCAAATATAAACTGACCAACAGCTCTTTTTCTAATTCCCGAAGGATACAGATTAGACCATGCTCTGAAGAAATGAAAGAGATTCCTACATTGAACACATTAATTAATCTTTAACTGGATGCTTGTCTACTCATTACTCCCAAAAGATTATTGGATCTGCGCTAACTACCATAAAACATTTTTAAAAGATATAAAACATCAATGATTTTTTTTTTGGAATTAATGTCAGACAGTTAATTGTTAATATGCAATTCATATGGACATGCAGATTCCACCCCTACCACCATAAAATTAATTTTTAAGTTCATAATATTATGTAATATCAAAATAGTTAATATGCAATATCAAATTTGTTTTAATTACTTCTCATCAAATTCATTTTCAAACTTCGGCTACCCAACAAGAGCTAATTTAATCCAACAGGCTTACCCATTTGGCCCAATACTCAAGGGATATAGATAGCACCGATGCTCTTACAGCTACTCCTCACACTAAACTCATTAATTTCTCTCTCTAAATTGTCATGCAATTTTCTGTTATCATTCTTCTTGACCAGTGCTTGATAATTAGACTCATGGGAGTGGTGGAATTTCTCTAACATACATTATATTTGTTATAGATTGCTGTCAAGTATATGCTAAAAAATAAGTATTTTCTTGATTTAACATTTTTCTATTAAGGTTAGTGCAATAATTTTACATTATTCTAAATGTGTAAATGAAGAGAAAAAATTTAATTTTTTTTTTAAAAATTCCACTTAAATTAAAGGTCACATGTACAGTGACCTTGAAATAGGTCGCGACACACCTTTTACCTAAGATGCATAAACTGGCCAAGTTTGATGATTCTAAGTCTTATAGTTTTCTAGTTATGGACCGGACAGGATTTTTCCATATTTGGCAATAACTTTTTAATTATAGGTCAGAGCGACATACTTTTTGTGCGCGACACACCTTCTACCCAAGATGTATCAGATGACAAAGTTTGATAACTCTAGGCCTTATAGTATTAAAGTTATGAGCCGGACATGAGAAAAGCTAACAGACGGACGGACGGACAGCTAGACAGACGGACAGACAGACGGACACGAAGCCTATAACATAATAAAATTTGTCTTAAGACGGGCGTATAAAAATATATTGCAATTATGTGTTATGTCACTCTGTAAAATGATTGTTGAAAAAAAAAACCATTATACAAAATCAAATTAATCTTGATATATCAATTTGAAATGCATTTTGAAAATAAAGAACTGGTCATCCAGTAATGAAGTGTTTTGACAGACAATAAATTACAATTAAGAGAATAAGAGAAGAGAGATCTTTAATTCTTAATTGTGCCTTATTCCCTGAAGATTTGATAACACACACACACTTGATAAGAGATATGCCTAAACAACTTCCAACACCAAACTCATTTAATTTATCTTTAACTGGATGCATGTCTAGTCATTATTCCCCAGAGACAAATGAAATTACATTATCTTCTGTGCAATGTAAAAACTGTTTTTAACACTTGATGTTTCTTTTTTTTTTAAGTTTTTATGAGTAATTTTAAGCTGTAGTTCACGTTTTTGTACAGATATTCTAGATTCTATGTCTCAAACCTTATACATGAGCCCAAAATGAACAAGTCAATTAAAATTTTAAAAAACCTGTAAAATGCAGAAAAATGAACAAAAAGAGTTGAAAATTCCAGGTGCACAACTTCATATGGTGAATAATAATTGTACAAATTTTCAGATTAATCCTTGCAATAGTTTCTGAGAAACGGTCCAAACAAAACCACAAAATAAAAATGAAAAAACACCTGTAAAATTCAAAATAATAATCCAATCAAGATGAAAAATATCAGGTGCACAACTTCATATGGTGAATAATATGTGTACAACTTTTCAGACAAATCCTTCCAATAGTTTCTGAGTAATGGTCCGGACAAAATCTCGTCTACAGACAGACGGACAGACGGACAGACGGACATGGTGATTCCAATATACCCCCCCTAAACTTCGTTTGCGGGGGGTATAATTAGTTTTTACGGGATGTGATTATCCTCGTGTTCCTGCAAGCAAGATTTGTAATCCTGAAATTACATTTAAAGTCTAAAATTGATTCATTGAATATCCTGATTTAAATGACAGAGCCCCCGATAGATTCCCATCCTCAGAGTTATATTCATGCAAGTATTGACTATTTTTATTACTTTACAAGTACTAATATTTGCCTCTTGTTGAAATTGAGTTATGAAACTTCATCAATCATTCATAAAAAATAAGCATAAATATCACATAAATTGAGTACAGTACACTTTACACTCAGTATACTAAGTGATACACTGTATCATGTCAATTAGAAATATTATACTGTCTCTTACTTTGCTGTTCATTGTACTAAGTGGACAGAATTAAAACACAATTCTAAATAAGCTCACCTATAGATTAGTTGAACCTCAGTAAACAGATAAAATCAAAAATAACTTATATCTATACACTGTAGTGTATTGTATGAAGTACTGTAGATTCCTTATTTTTCGCGAGTATTTATTATTGTGAATTGGTTCTTCAAAGTCAAATCGCGAGAATAATAATTCGCGAATGGACGTTTGATTGAGAGATTTTACATAGATTTCAGCACCATAAATATAAAGGGAGTGATTTTATTTAGCGTGTGGTGCTTCTCGCGAAATTAAGCGATAATTAATTCCACGCGTATATTTAGGAATCTACAGTAAATAATGTGAACAGTTATGATAAGAACCTTGAAATTCAAAACCCCAATCTCTTAAAATATTCCACATTAATTTCTATGGATCTGATACATTCTACAATATGGTTTTCTTTGATGCAGACTTTGCATACCTTTTAGTTTTACCATAAATAATGTACATCCAGAAATTAAGATGTGATGTATATAAATGTATATATTCAAGACTGATAAATGTTTATATATACTGATCGATGGACATGTACATATGTTCTTAATATACATTATACAATACCGTTTTTGTTTTAAATCACATTAAAAGATGAGGCACTGAGTAAAGCAACAGTGTCAAATAAAATTGAATATAATCAATTGATGTTCCCTGTTTATCCATAACCATGGTTATCTTAATTTGGAATGTTTATTACAATAATTTTAGTCACATTACTGAGCACTGGGATTGTGAACAACCATTCATCACAGTTCATAGATAAATTAACCCAATTCATCACAATACATAAAGTATTCATCACTAATTGAAGCAAGTCTGGCACATCTGACAGCCATTTATAGCTAGGAGCTTATCCACTTCAAAGTGTCCTACTCAACGTCACAGTTTCTCTAAGCTAAACACTCATCTAAACATAGGGATACACATCCAGGATATCTGGGACTGTCAATTCCGACTAGCAAACACACTCCCTCTCGAAATGATTCTGTTTGGAGCTGTTACTTTACACCCCCTTGGTGGGTTTTCTAGTGTCATCTTTTCTTGGCTTTTTCCTGTATTTGTAACTGAAGCTGTCTGTTCTCCTGTGAAAGCCTGGCTATTTCTCCTCCTAATGTATCCAAGCTCTCCTGTAAATGTTTAAACTTCAGATTCAGTATTCTGATTAGACTTTATTTAGAATCATGTAGCAATTCTACCATTTTGCAGAAAGTAAAATTTGAAATAAAATTTACTTTACAGTATGATAAACTGTTCAAATCAAATACGAAATACGCTCATTTTTGTTATTAAAAAGTCTGTTATGTTTTTACAACACCATAAGTTTAAATTGTTTAGGTTAACTCATAATATGTGCACAATAGCCTCTTGTTCATTCTGAAGCAAAAAAAAAAAAAGTCAAACACATGAGTGTAAGCTCTACCTTCAGAGTGATATTCTTTAGTAGGGTGTCTTCTAGAACAGCCTGTAACTTGTGGTTGATTTCTAAAGAGAGGTCAAGGGTCATTGCACTGTCTGTCTGGTGAGAGCTGTACAGAGATCCCATAATGCTGTGCTTCTTGGACAACTCCACCTACAAGCAAGATTTTATAAATATTTCTGCTAATTTCACCTTAACAATATTCCTTTTCTTATGATTAAGAAAGTTTTTATATACACTTTAAACCTTTACGATTCCAAATAAAATATCTCTTGTCAATGTGTAAATTAATATTCACTTCATACTGTAATGAATCTTAATGAAAAATGTTGGCATTTTCTCCCTGAACTCTTTAGTGTTCTAATTACAGTACACTTTTTCTCCATTGTTTGGTTAAAAATCTTCCACATCTTAATTTCTTCAATAATAAAAACCAAAAACTATTAATCGTATACTGTTATATTTACAATGGACACACCCATGTCTGTACATGTATTAACTACAAACATGTACATGAACATTTTTATACAAAATCTGTTATTATCATGATATGAATACTTGATGCCAGAATTAACATGACAGAACACAACATCAGAGATCAAATACAGCTTGACCAAGACAAATCTAAAGTAGCATATTCAAATATTAAAAAGGTGCAGTAATACACATTGCCCTCAGCTAAAGAAAAATTTGTCACTTTAACTACATATAAATGGACATGTATCTTACTCACTAAATGTTTCTTAATACATGTGCATGATAAAATAAAGTGCAAGTTTATTTCTTTACAGCTGGACTAAGCTAAGTTATACATATAAGAAAACCCAAACTATCCAGTGTTGATCAGCTAGGCTTCTACTCAATGATACTTTTCCTGTTTATATTATAAAATGCCAAATACATGTAAATAACTAATCCTCATGCAATGGAGTCCAATCTTAAATGAAGCTTACCAACCCTTTGTTTAAAGTCTATTTCAGCTTAAGAGTTTTTATGTGTAATTCATGCATATTCATTAAGGACAAATATCCAATCAGCTGCTAGATAGAGAGAGCTAGAAGATCCACACACCATTTTCACATTGACATTTGGGAGACGAGTAAAACAAGATAGAAAGCATACCTGGGATAGCTCCCTGTGGTCCAGCTACAGAAAGAATCAACAAACAAAAGCTACAGGCCAATGAAATTACAGGTTAAAATTATGGATGAAATCATTCAACCAATCAGATCTCAGACTTTTGGAAAATGTGAAAACCAATAGCCAATGAGATAAGACATAACAAGCCATGCATACATGTAGGTACACCTCAGCAC